TAATAAAGGTCTCGCTTAGTGACAGAAATTTGGGGGTCATTTGTGGTTGTAAGTCGAGGATAAGGTTTTTCTGGTTGTCTGAATTTGAGCTGAGGAAGGAAACCAGTGGCACGTTCTGGATTAAGCAAGAAGAGAAGGATGGACCTGAAAGGAGGAATCTTCCCTTTAGAATGACAATTATGGAGCAGAAGAGATCCAGTGGATCCCACTATTACAGGCAGTCCTCGACTTACGACAACAATCGAGCCCCCCAAATTTCTGTTTGAAGGAACTTTTTGGCCAATTTGACCACCTTTCTTGCCCCTAAGTGAATCACTGCAGTTGTTGAATTAGTCGCCCGGTTGTTAAGTGAATCCAGCTTTCCCACTGCTTATAAGGAGATCACAAAAGGGGATCGTGTGACCTTGGGACACTGCGACCGTTGTAAATGTGAGTCTGTCGCCAAACGTCCGGGTTGTTAAGTGTGAAAAATGGTCATAAGTCCATGACGTTGAAAATAAATGGACTGTTGTTAAGGACTTTCTGTATGGTCATTTAGTGACCGTTCAAACAGCCCTGAAAAAAGGGATTTGGGAACACTGTTCACACTTATGACGATTGCAGTAACCCCATGGTCACGTGATGTACATTCATAGGCTTGACAACAGACTCGCATTTATGACAGTCGCGGTGTCCCTGGAGTTACGATCCCCATTTGCAACCTTCCGACAAGCAAAGTTGCGGGGAAAGCTGGATTTAACAACCAAGTGATTCTCACTTAACCACTGCAGTGCTTCACTTAACAGCGGACGTAATAAAGGTGTCGGGGTCCCGAGTATTACATTCATAATAATCAGACCTCCGAGACAAGGTTCCTCCAAGAATTGGTTTATGGGACATACCATATTGGCATAAGCTGGTGAAAACCGAGTCTGAACATTCCCATGGTTTTCATCTAATTAAAAGTAAAAGTTTCTCTCATTTCCCAGTCAGTCAGTCACACGGTCCAATCAAGGTCCCCTCTGGTTGCGGGGTGACATCACTCCGCCTCTCCCTGGTCACCTGTGAGAATGTCCTTGGTTCCCAAGAGAAAATATTTTGCTTTGACCCCAATCCCCTTCTATCTCTATTTCCCCCACCCTCTCCCACAGCTCCAGTGTGGCAACACTGAAGCCTCAAAATGGCCTCCATCAGGTCAGCTTCAGGGTTGACAAAAGTTTGTAAAACGGCAAAACTCATTTAATGAATGTTTTGCTTAACCACAGAGATTTTGGACTCCGTTGCAGTTGTGTTGTGGCCCGCTGGCGGCTAGTGGAGTTGGCAGCAGAGTTGGACAGTGAGGAGGTTGGGGAGGAACTTGGGCCAGTGCTGGAGGCGGAGGAACGCTCAGATGAGGGCTCTGCATCAGAGGCAGAGATAGGGCCAAGGCAGGCTGGCAATCATCAGCTGCCTTCAGATTCTGACAGCAGTGAGGCGGGGGAACAGCTGGAGTCAGTTCCCAGCCTACGCATGCGTAGAGCTGCCAAAAGAAAAGAACAATTATGAACTAAGGGTCGATATGGGAGTAAGGCCACAGATGGATGGTGAATGGCCCCTCCCATAGGGATTAAAAGAGGAGCAAAAGGGGAGGGGGCTTTTGCAGGAAACAATTCATTTGTTGCAGCAGTGTGAAGATCTATCTGCTTCTCAGAGACTCCGTGCTGAGTCCTTCCTTGTCAGCACTGCATTTGGAAATAGTTACTTTGCAGCTCTCCAAGCTATATAAGGTCTATGCTCCTCATTAGACCCTTGAAAGACTGTTTGTCAGGCCTTTGGCGGAAGGTGAATGCAAGCAATTCACCTTCGTTTAGTAAAAGGGGTTTTGCCGAGATAAAAAAATCTGCTTAGTGTTTTTTGGGGAACCCTAGGTCAGAACAGTAAGCCCCAGGGAATACCTGCATATTTGTGCCTCCTGAATGGTAGCCGTGACAGGTTTTGGGTACTGATGGACCCCCGTCAATGAGCCGTACACTGGTGGCCTCCCTACTATCCCCTGAGCTCAGCCTTTTGGCTAGAGTCCTGTAGACCTCTATTTTATTTGCAGAAAGATTAAAGCCGTTGTTTGTAAGAGAAAAAAAAGGAACAGCTTAAAATCATTTCTGCATTTCTGGGAGTCATGTTGGCTTAGTGCATCTGTCTTGGTGAGCCGTGACAGCCCCCTGGTGGTTCATTTCAGTATTACAAACGGAAGAATGATCCCAATGTATGAAACAGGCCATCCTTAACTTACAACCGTTCGTTTAGTGATCAAAGTTACAAGGGCACTAAAAAAGGACCGACCTACAGCCGGTCCTTGCACTTAAAACCATCGCAGCATCTCCACAATCCAATGATTACAAATTTGGGCGCTCGATAAACAGAATTACAGAGTTGGAAGGGTCCTTGTAGGTTATCTAGTCCAGGGGTCACCAACCTTTCGGACCTCAGGGACCACCAAACTCATAATTTTATATCCCAGGAACCACTAATCGGTTCTGTGGGCATGGCCTAATTTGTGGGTGTAGCTTGGTGGTCATGTGACTTGCTGGGCATGGCTTGTATGTAAATATTATAAATATATAAATAATTGCATTTTTTATTTAAAAAAGAACAACTTTTACCCAAAATCAGGCAAAGTAGGCAGGCAGATTGAGTTGCTCACAGAATCACAGATTCATTTAGAATCTATTTATCTGCCATTGGCTAGCTCAGTCTGTCACATAAAATTTGCTTGCAAGCAAACTCATAAAATTTGCTTGCAAGCAAACTCATAAAACTAACTCACAACACACCATGTATGTAAATATTGAATTTTTTATATAAAAAAGCATTTTTTACCCAAAATCAGGCAAAGCAGGCAGATTGAATTGCTCACAGAATCATTCAGTAATCTACCTATCTGCCATCGGCAAGCTCAGTCTCTCAAATTTGTTTGCCCTGAATCTGCACTGAATTTGCTTGCAAGCAAACCTTCAGTCCTAAGGGAAGCAGAGCCGAAGATCTAAAGACTAGCTAGAAAGCAAGAAATCCAACCATTTCCTGCTTCCTAGCTAATCTAAATCTCCTGGCACAGCAGAACAGATGATGGTCGGAAAAAGGAAAAATAGCAACTTAGCAGACAAGCTTGCTGGGTAAGGAGTGAGTGGGCGGGGAGGGTTCCCGCAGGCCATGCGGATGGCACAGCCTTGTGTTTCTGCGCAGCCTGGATTAATTGCTTTGGGGGGTGCTCTGGGGGTGAGATTTCTTTGCGGCTCATCAAAATTTTCTCACGGCCTTGGCGACCACTGATCTAGCCCAACCCCATTTGCGAGCTGGTCAGCTGGCTTCCGTGGAGCAAAGTCAATGAGGCAAAGCTGGATTCGCTTAATGATGGCCTGGTTCACTGACGTGATTTGCTGAACAAAAAAAAAGGTGATAAAATCAGATGTGTTTCACTTAACAACCTGTTTGCTTAACAACAAAATTTCTGATCCCTATTGTGATCATGAGGATTTCCTGGACTTGTTACCTGTGATTTTTCAATCTTGAAAAAAAGAAATCAACAAAGTCTTTTTTCTTGCATCGTGCGGCTCTCATCCCTCCATATCTGTTACTTTCCTTTCTTTGTTCTTGTCTTTTATAAATACTGGTGAATACTGGTGAAAATTAGAAAATCTTTTGGGACCATTAGAAAGGTATGGACATCCTGGGATCTATAATTTGTTGGTGGGAGAGCCTGTTTAATCTGCTGAAGTTTTTATTTATGTGTTTGGTTTATATGCCACCTTTATTGGCCAAGTCTGATTGGACACACAAGGAATTTTTATAAATAACTTGAGGTGGCAAACACACTATGTTCCTTCTTCCCCTCATTTTCTTCAGAACAACAACCCTGTAAGGTGGGCTGGGCTGAGGGAAAGGGACTGGCCCAAAGTCACCCAGGCAGCTTTCATGCCTTAGGCAGGACTAGAACTCACCGTCTCCTGGTGATTGGCCCAAAGTCATCCAGCTGCGTTTCTAAGACG